CCCCAAAACCCCAAAACCCCAAAACCCCAAAACCCCGTTTAATCTTAATTAATTTTGGATAAGGATTATAAATATTAAATATTACACGTCATGGATGCCTTCGGTAACTCTGAAATAGACAGATTCAAAATGTTTTCTAGGTTTGTTTTTGACTCTTATCTCAAATATCTCCTCCAAATTCAAAACCCTAAACTCATATGACTTTAGCACTCCAGTGAAGGATTATAACAGATCTGACGAAAATAGCAACACAGAGTAAGAGGATGGCTTAAACATATAGCAACTGTTTTGCAGATATCTGACTCAGTGATATTGAACATGAGTCTAACTCCAAAAGTCACCAGTTAAATTTCTTATTCAAAGATAGCGAGAAGAGCAATGTATTTGGGTTTTGATAAATTTAGGATGAAATTCTAAACTTTTTGGAGGAAAACAAGTCTCCTAAAGTTCAGAATAACAAGGAGCAGATAGAAATTCCTAAAAATTCTAATGAAAAGGAGATCACTGAACCAAAATAAGGTAGATACGCATGTTTTAAGGATGAAAAGGAAGAATTCACCTAGAAAATGAAGAACTACCAATCCATCCGAGACAGCATGTATCAAAGCTATTTCGAATGCTCTTGAATGCCAGAAGTTCAACAGTTATGCTGAATTTAAGGTCAGACAGACACTTCAGGGATTCATCTTAGGGTTGTATAAAAACAACGAATACAGACCTTTAAGCCTCCAATATCTGGTAGATAAAGTTGATGAAGTCAGAGTATACCTTAAACGGAGAAATAAGTTCTACAACCTTCATTTCTCAATCAAGAAATCTGTTATTGGAGCTTTGCATTCCATGAAGCTATTTAAGAAAATTGGGAAAGATTTATGGCAGATAGAGTAAGTTTGCATCTCTTTGAAACAATCTTTTCTGCCACTAAATTTCTCTTTATTAGACTAAATTCTAATAATTTACTTTAGCAGAAAAGCCATTGAGTTTGAGGAAAACTTGATTAATAAACAACTGAAAATGGAACAGACAGGGATTGAAGCTACTGATGTAAAGAAGGAGAAATTAGAACAAGAAGACCAACCATCACAATTAAGCAGTCTTATAGACCAAGTTTATAATAACGAAGACCCTGAGAAACAAAAGAGAGAATTAGTTGAGAAATTTGAAACGATGTACCAAAGGCTTGGTGGTCCAATGAACATTGATAACCCATTTGAAGGAGTTAGCCCAGATGATGATATTTCGGTTCTCTGGAAAAAGCTAGGAAATAATCAGATGCTTGGCATTCTTCATTCCTTTATCCTTCTCAGACCGATCATCAAGGATGCAATTGAAAGAGAAGAGCAAGGAGTAATAGAGAAGGAAACTGAGAACTCTAACATCGAATCTAAACTACTCAACGACATGGCTATGAAAGTTGATTTCCTAAGTAACATGGTAAACTCAGTTGCCTCTCGTGTTAATACCACCGACTAATTACCTTACACCCCTAACAATACCTTCAATTTCTTTAAATCACAACTTTTCTCACCTCAATCACTTCCATTCTCTCCCGACCCACTCCTCAAAATCCCAAATTTCTCACTTATTAGCCCACTTTTACTCCTCTCTTCCCCAGCAAGGTCTCTCACTGTAGCACAAGACTAGGCTGGCGCCTTAGCTGGTAGAGCAGGGGTTTTAGGAGAGATGGCTTTAAAGGGGGATAAATGGAGGAAATTTTATGAATTGGGGTTTTGGGGTTTTGGGGTTTTGGGGTTTTGGGG